TCCATCCTTAAACCCTTATCTACATGCGCAGACTGCAAGATCACTGACTTCCTGAATAGAAATAAACCTAAATATTTGGGTCTTTATATGTCTAAAATCTAGCCGCTCCATTTTATCATATATAACCCTAGATGTGGATATTTTTTAAATGATAGTCTTGTGCTGACTTCCAGACTTCAGTGACTGACAGGAGGCAGAAGGCTGCAGCAGACAGCTTAAGAACAAGCATAATGGCTCCAGCATGTGTTAAGGCAAGATCACAAGAACTGGATAAGGTTACTACGGCTGGCAAAGTCCTTGAGGTGTGCTGGTTGGGCTGTGGTGCAAATCTGCCTTGGTACCAAGTGTAGAGTACCCTGCCTCAGCCCTGTCTAGGCAAAATTTTAACACTGGTATTTATGCAGGAGTTGAGAGAATGACATTAAGAGCCAAAACTGGATTTAAAAAGTATTCTTAAACATCTGCACTTGAGGTTGTGGTGGTTTGGGTTTTTTTTAATGCCTCATTGCAATGAAGAGTCAGACCATGGATATACAGGCAGGGAGAGGCACCTTGAAATGGCCATAAAATCTGGGGATGGGTGGGGGGTACATCCCTGTGTCTACACCCAGGCAGGAAGGCGGAAGGCCCCTACGTCATTTAGCGTTGGACCGGAGAGGCAGCCTGGTGCAGCCCCATGTCACCTGTGCCATGTGCTTTGGAGGTGGGTTGTCCACCAACAGGCAGCCTCTCTGAGCTGCCACATGCCAGGAGGTCTCCCAGGTTGTGCTTGAAGCTTCCCAAGACTGGGATAGCATCAGCTCCTCACTGAGACTGTAACAGCTTGCACAAGATGCTGTCAGAGCAGTATATTGGCAATGCCAAGATCCAGGCTTTTTTTCCTGGAGCCCATGGGAAACTGCCCTGTGCTGGCTGTGTCCCTGGGTTTTATTTGCTATAAAGCTGTCTTGCATCCTTATGGGTTGTGGGGCTGCAATCAGATAATCAGTGGGAAGGAACCAATCATGAAGGAGCTGTGGCTTGTCATGCATGTGCCGTGCAAAGCAGACCTATCTTTTCAAGTTGGGCCCAAAGTTGTGTACTGGAAATGTCCCATCCTACATTGCCATGTGGATGCACCAAGCTGACTTCGCTCTAAATTAAATTTCATGGATAAGATTCAACATACTGAAGATTTTATTTCATCAGCCTCACAAAATAGAACACTTGAGGAACAAAACAGATACAAGTTGTGAATCCAAACATTCTGACAGCATGATCAAAATGACCATTCCCTCAGGACAGTATCAGCAGAGCAGTGTGATGCTTGGCTCCCTCAGGGGCTTGCTTACCTCATGGCCATGTACTGCCACATGGTCTTGTGTCTCCTGCACCCCCTTTCTCTTCTGCAGGGTTCCCAGGACAGACACAGCGAGACTGGAAAGGCACAACCCCTTCAGGTGAACTGGGGATGCCAGCAGCCCTCCTGTCCAAAAGGACCTGCGAGGCGTTTGGAGACCCATGTACCCAGATATCCTGGGCTGTCCCTGCCCATTGGCAACTGACACAGGGTGACTCAGGGAAGGTCTTGGCAGTGCTGATGGTCTAGCAGGCACCAAGGCACTGAGAAAGCAGGGTATAATTGTGGGAAGCCAGAAAATATCCTCCTTCTACTGCTACAAGGGAAAAGATGGAGGCATAAACAGTGAAGGAGGCACCAGGCAGTCCTGTCGGGCTTGTAAGGGTGCAGTGGTGCTCACATTAACTCCTTGTCATGGAGATCTTCACAATATGTAACTCAAGGTCTCTCTAGGTTTGATTAGAAACAGACACCCCAAACTTTGCACTGAAACTTTGAGGCCATCTCCAGTTACAGGAAGTCTGGGCATATCCATATGCAGATGTATGCAATTTGTTTCACTTCAGCAGTTAGCGTGACTGTTTTGAGGTCAAAGAGCCTGTTTCTAGGGAATGAGAGTTACTTCTTGGGATGCTCAGCCAAGGATGGATGCACGCCATCCCCTCCCTACCCTGCCGTCCTGCCCTCCATCCCACAGTTGCTGCCCCTCTCATGGAGTCAGCTCATCCCTGCCAGGGCCCTCAGGGGCTAGAGGTGAAGAAGCCCATGTTTGCTGCAGTGCAGGAGCATGACAGCAGCATGGCTGAGCTGGCAAGGAGGGCTCTGGACTGGCAGCAGGCAGGCAGGGGAATACCCATTGTGGGCACAGCAGGGACAGCCGCTTGCTCCTTGGGACTGATGGTTTGTGATGGAGATAATTATTCCTGCTGAAAGTCCAAAGCCCAGCTCCCAGCTGCAGTTTGGGCTATGCAGTCAACGAAATTAGAACAGACCCAGAGCTTTTCTCTCTGTGTGTTTCTGCAGACCCCTTCCCAGCTATCTGAGCTGCTCAAGCAGATAAGAAACAGCAGAGGAGTTCCCAAGGAAAGGCCTCAGGTGTTACATTTGCTGCTGCTGGAGTTGCAGGGCACCTGGGATTTAGGGAGGCAGCCAGCACAAAGCTGTGGGGGAAAATGTACTGGGCTTCCTGGCATCATAAATAATAAAAGAAAGAAAGAAAAGAGAAAAAAAAACCAGAGAAAAAATTCCTGGAATACTTTCATATATTTATTGCTCTGTCTCTACTGACTCTCATAGGCGGTAGTCCATTGCTGCAGACTTTCTGGAACTGTTTTATTTTCAGCTGTGAAATTTATAAATATCATGTCTGTATCATATGATTTACCCAGGCTGTGGGGCAGAGCCTCTTTTGGACAGGCTTGCCCACCTGCATCCCCCAGGAGCAGTAGAAGAGTTCAGAGAGGGGAGGTGCAAAGAGGAGGCAGGGTGTCAGTCCCTGGCCTAGACACTGGTCCTGGCACCCAGGGAGTATAAATATTGGCAAAACGTTCCTAAGGATCAAAGCAAAGACTACTGAGACAGACAGCATCAGACTTTGGAAAGCTTTACAGGGACCTCCTCAAAAGCCTGAGGGAACAGTATCAGAGAAAGCAGTAAATCTGAAATCACAGTAGGGTGGTAGTCGCAGATAGCTCCTGCAACTGTTACCTTCATCCAAGGTCTGCTTTTAACCCCTCTGTACCAACTGGGTAATTTTTTTCTCAAAACCCTTTCATAGCTCATCCTCCCAGACTTAAATCTGGGCCTTCCTTGCCCTTGTGCCCGAGGGTGACAGCTACATTTCATCCTGGTTTTATCCCAATCACTTCAATGCAGTCTTTCAGCTGCAAGAGTGAGAAATGGGTGAGGACATGCATACCTTCTCAGAAGCTTGTTCATGGGCTTTTGGCTGTGGAGACATGACAGCTATTCACAGAAGGGCTAAACTCTAAATGTACAGTGAATTAGTGGAAAGATGTAACAAGAGATAAGTGCTGGAAAAAATGAAACTTGCCAAAGACACATGCTAAGATGCCTGAGCTGGCATTAATGACCCTGGATATGACACTGCTGGGGAAAAGCTCCCAGTGGGGACATCACTAGACGGTGGAGCTGTTTCCTAGAAAGACTGATCTTGGACTGGTAACATTTAAATATAGGCTAATGTGAAATTAAAAAAAAGATCATCCAGTTGATGTACTCTTCGCTTGGTAAGGAGAGCATGAATAGGAAGTACCACTGTACCACTTCCTGGACATTTAGGAACTGAGAATAGTGGCTCAAGGTTAAAACCTGCTGTAGGGCTACCGTGTTTTTTGTCCAAAGATCTCAGCCAGAAATGTGGCCAGTTGGTGGACTGTTGTTCACACAGACCCCTCTTTTTCTGGCCTGGGGATGGCCCACAATGCAGAGCAGTGGCATCAGACAAGGGAGAACCACAGTCACTTGCGAGGACCTACCAGGGTCCTGCTGGCAAAGCAGCACTCTTGCTAATGAAGGGCTTACCACTTCCACTGGAGGCAGGAGGTGGGCAGGAGAGGATGCTCCATCACAGCATGGGCCTGAGGATATATGTGCCCCATTATAGAAGCTCAAAGGTGGTTTTAATTGTAGCTACTAAGCCTTAGAGAGGAACCAGCTTACTGGTTGAGTGGTTGAAATGTCCTCCTCCTGTATCACCATACTGCTGTCATACATCATGCGCCATTAATTATTAATTGTTGGGGGTAGTCAGGCAGAAACATCTTCCCAGGCTGCTGTCAGACTCCTCTCATTTCCCTCTGCCCTACACACAGGCTGGGCTGTTTCTGTAGGTGTCTCACGACGTCCTTTTCTGGAGCACTAAACCCCATTTACAGCCTCCTTGCCAAAAGCACTGCAAGTCCTCTTAGAAGGCTGTGGGGTGTCAGTCAGGAACACCTCTGCTGAAACACCACCACTGCCAGGGGATGCAGGAGAAGCAAGCAGACCTAACCAAGCATGACACGTGGCTGCTGGGTACTGGTTTTCTACTGTGTGCTATTCAGTAGGGGAGCACCAATGGGCTGGTGTCCGGGGACCTACTTGATGGGGGAAGCAGATGGGTTCCTCTATCCTCAGAGACCTTTCCTGTGGCCAGGCCCAAGGAATGTAGTGCTCTGCGGGGTTCAGTCCCAATGTGGGTGTTGGAGAAGGGTCTGACTAGGTTGTGTGTACATGAGTGCACAGGGCTCTTGGAGAGGGAGGAGTAGCTGGCAGAGCTTGCCCCAGCCTCCTCTTTCCCATCTGTGCTGGCCTCTGCATCTTGTGATAAACCTTCCTTCCAAAACAGCCACCTCCTCCCTTGGTTACAGCCTGTGCCACCCCAAAGCTGAGCACCAATACCTTCCGAGGCCAAGGCTGGCAGCTTTTCTGCACCCATGGCAGCGCTCTGCCTTGTCTCACCTCCCTTCTCTCTCTCTGCCCAGAGTTGATGCCAGCCTCTCTGTCCACCTTTGGGAACTGCTGCCCTCCCGCCAGGGTGCTAGCTTTAACTGATTGAACCCAACTAATTGGTCAAAATATTTACAACTGTTTCCTTCTCTCTCTCCCCACCCCCTGCCTCTACTCAAACCCACCTTCCTCTCCCCTCCCTCCCAAATAGGTAAAGACAGCGCTTTGGGAGAGGCTGACCTGCAGCCAAGCTCTGACCCATCAGCAATGGACAGCAGCTACCTCAGCGTGAAGGAGGCTGGGGTGAAAGTGCCCCAGGACAGGGCCAGCACAGACCTCCCCAGCCCCATGGACAAGGCCGACTCAGAGAGCAACAAGGGCAAAAAGCGGAGGAACCGCACCACCTTCACTAGTTACCAGCTGGAGGAGCTGGAGAAGGTCTTCCAGAAAACCCACTATCCTGATGTCTATGCCAGGGAGCAGCTAGCCATGAGGACAGACCTCACCGAGGCTCGTGTACAGGTATGGGGGAATGGCCTAGGGCTGGGCGCGGGTGGGTGAGCTGCAAACAAGCCCCTGAGGTCCCCTGCAGCCGAACCATAAACTGCAGGCAGCTGAGCCCTACCCAGAGCCTGTGCCACAGGCTAGCATGCCTCTCCAGCAGGGGCAGGGCAGGGAGGTACATCCACATCTGACACTAGTATCAGCTCCTTTATTTGGTCTGGTGCTCCAGTGTTCACAGAGATGCCTCTTGCCCTTGAGCTAATGCGACAACAGGCAGGTAAATCTCATGGCCACCCACAACAAAGCTTTTACAAAAAACACTTTTTTTCAGGAGACTCATAGAGGACACAGGTTTATTAGTCTGAGTGGCAGCAAGCTTTTCCACAGACTGGGCTCTTTTCTGGCAAGATGGGGATGCAGATATGACCAGGAGCTCAGTAGCGGAGAGCATGAGGTGATACAAAACAGGAACTCTTATTGCCTGCTTGGTTAAGTAGGTGCTGAAGATGCATGAAAGCTGCAGGCCTGGAGACAAAAGGTGCACCCACCACCTTGGGAGGAGCAGAAGAGTTAAACAGCTACACTGTTGACAGACTTCCAACCACCTCCACCCACACAGGTGCCAGCTCCCATGAACTAGCTCCCCCAAACTAACCTGGGGGTCCATCAGAGCCAAAATCCACATCAAAGAAATTTAACAGAGGGCCTGGCAGGGCTCAGAAGCATGTGCAAAAAGGAACATCATTGCATGGAGCATCATTGTGTGGAGCAGACATCCACAACTCATGCCTTGGCAACCAGCTCTTTCTCCAGCCTAGCTAATCCTGTAACTTCCACCTGCAGGCATTTGTCAGCTCACCATCCCCAGAACCTGCATGAACATCAAGAATGTTGGTTAAGACATGGTGCTAAAAATCACAAGGTCGCAGGTTCCATCCCTGTATGGGATATTCACTTGAGAGTTGGACTCACTAATCCTTATGGGTCCCTTCCAACTCAGAATATTCTGTGATTTACCTGAATAATTGGCCTATGGAGACACCTGATTGTATCTCTTAAACCAGGAAGACTCCCCGCTCCTAAGGCAGCCCGGCTTGCCCTCTGCTTTAACCTTTACAAGTAGTTGTTGCAAACAGTCTAAGCAGTCAAGCCAGCATCCATGCTTAAGTCCATTTTAGTCTGTGCCTTCCCTTCCAGATTCAATTGGAAGCAGGATTTTTCTTGTCTGCTTCCTAAATTGGTTTGCAGGGCTGCTGTGCTCTTCTTCCCCACAGCTGTTTCTCTTCAGGCTGGACACGGCTGCATTTCAGTAGGAAGCAGCACGATTCCCATTGGTCCCGGGTGTAGCATGCTGAGCACTGCAGGATGGGCAGAGGAAGGCAGTGCTACAAACATCAGCTCTTTACTTCTGTCACTGGATGAAGCCCTTGATTTCCCAGGAACACATCACAAGTGCCGATGGGGTCTCCTGGGAGGCCAGGCACAGCATCTGGTTACATGCTGCACAGTGCATGAAATTCCTTTTGCTCAGGAATGAGAATGAGGTGCTGGAGGGTGGCAAGCTCCTCCTGCTTGCTTCTGAGCCAGGGTGTGCAGCTAGCGTGCCATCCCAGCCAGCACGCAGGGCTGCTAACAGAGCCAGGGCGGGTGAGGCAGATGCAGTCTACAAGTTCCTTACATATGACCCATGATCTTGGGGGTTTCCCCCACTGGATAACACTAAAGCTGAGAGGAGAAGCACCTCACTGGGCAGCCAGGAGGATATCTGGCAGAGGGGGATTTCACCTTGTCCTGAGATAAGTGCCCCTTAAGCTGCCTGTCGCCATGGCTGCCAGCGCACTCCTCTAACTTGGGGTGGTGATGACAGGGCTCGTGTCATGGAGCGGCTGAAGGACTTGTCCAAGTGGCCTGGTGCTCGAGCACTTACCCAGGGATGAAAGGGGTCAGCACTTGCATTTCAGTCATTCCCCTGCTCTGCTGGGAAGGGCCCAGTCCCCTGGGCTATGGGTTGGCACCCAGCCACCACCTCCTGACGAAGGGCTGCCACGCTGTTGGTAGAAATGCAGACTCCCTGTCACTGGAGAGCAAGAACCAGCAGGCCTGTGGGTGCTGTCTGGGCAGGCTCAGGGCACCCCATGTGCCAGGTATCTCGCATGTGTTCCCAGGGGCCTGGGGGTGCTGCCTAGTGAACTGTTTAGCCTCATCGTGGCAGTGGCAGCCCCTCAGGAGGCATGGAGGTGCAGCTGGAGATGGCACAGGGTTCTTCTACTGATGGCACAGGGCTGCACTTCCCATGAAGCAAGCTTTTGGAGTCAGAGCCTTAGTGAATCATGCCAGTGCCTGTCTCCAGCTCTGAGTTGTGTTATAGCTTGTTTAGGTTTGACTTTGGTCTCCCACTCCTCTGGGTAGCTCTGTGGGAGCCTTCCAGTGCCAGCACTGCAGCACTGAGGCCCATCAGCTCACAGCCAAAGAGTGGGTTCGGGCATGGGGCAACAGGTCAGGAGACTGATGGAAAAGTAAATGCCTACGGCAAGGACCAAGAACCAAGGGCTAGAGGGTTGGAAATCACAAATTAGCCATGAGCCCCTTACTACTTTACCCCTTTGCCAAGCTGGCAGAGGCTCCAGCTGCTGTGGGGTACTGGGGTACACACCATGGCAGCCCCATGGGCTTTGAGGGAAGCTCAACAGTCCCTCTCCCAAGGGACGTATGACCATCTAAGGGATGCCAAATGTCCTGGAATAATTTCATGGAGGCCAGCTTCAGCTGCCTGCAAGGCTGAACTGAGTAAAGGAGAGTGGCAGGAAGGCGAGGCACCCAGCAGGTCTGAGGTGTGATGCTCCCTCCCACAGCTGAGCCAGCTTTTGGCTGGAGGTCATCACCTCCGTCCGGGCTCCCTGGATAGCATAACCAGCCACACTGCAGGCAGAAGCAGATGTGAAGCCTAGACAGGCAAGTGGCAGCTCTGATTTTTCCAACCCTTTCCCAAGCTCATGCTTCATTAGTGAAATAGCTGCCAGTGCCTGGAGAAGAGCCCATGGCAGCAGCATGCATGATGGGGTGGGCTGCACTGTCTGTGAAGTGGTGGCATTCCACAGCCTTGCCCCTCTCCTGCTCCATTTCCCTGGCTGCCTCTGTTTCCAGCCATCTGTAGTGGTGTCAGACAATGTCAAAGCTAATTCCCCTTATGATACAATGCAACATTTTCCCTGTCTGCCCCCCCCACAACCTCGCCCCTTGTTTCCATGTGCTATTAGGATACTGCGCATCCCTGTTTTCCAGAGTGAGAGCCATGTGTAAGCCCTGTGCAGAGGCAGAGCCACACAGCCAGGGACAGACTGCTGTGGCTCAGTCACAAGCCTGCACGGGTGCACAGTGGGTGCTGTGTTCATGTAGGTCCTGCACAATGTGTATGTTCCATTCCTTTATTGTCTTCCATGTCTGGGGCCACAGAGCTCCAGAAAGAGCTTCTGCTTGGTATTAGCAACTGTCTGAGCTTCTTCCAGATCACCCAGGTCTGCAGCATATGTCTGAGGCAGTGGCACGAGAAAAACATGGTAGACACGTGTATTCACACATGGCTCCTTCCCCTTGCATACACTCATATGCACATCCCAAGCCCTGACAGCCTGGCCCTGGCTGCTCATCTCTCTTGGGCTATGAGCATCTCTGCCTCCTGGACTGCTCTGTGGCAGAGGAGAAAGGGATCAGGCTGGAAGAAGTCTTTGCAGCCAGGGAATATAACCCCTCAGCTAGCCCCCCTCAGAGCCAGCCCTAAGATTGCTGGGACCATTAATGAAATGTTTTTGGCGGTGACCCTGTGATGCGGCGGGGGCTTGAAAGTGAGAGGGAAATGTCAAACTCTGCTGTAGCAAAATCACCGCCTTGGAAAAAAAAAGAAAAGAAAAAAAGCAAAGCAAAGCAAGAAGTAATATATCTTGATCCCTTTTCCCCCATAAAACCCTGGGAGGCTCGTGGAAGGAGCGGAAAGACTGAGCTAAGCCTGCAGGAAATTAAACATGAAATGAAAACAAGCTCAAGTTATTCAATTCTCTCATCCCAGGCTCCAATTTCCCATTCCAGGCCACTGATAAAATGGTGTCCAGTTTCAGAGCTCAAGGATGAATTCTGGCTCTGTTCTTGCAGTGTGAAAAGCAAGGGGCTGGTGGCCATCTCTGGGAAGAGGGGAGATGGCCTGGCCTTTCACAGAGGGATGGGGTCCTGGGCAGACAGATGGAGGCTGAGCAGAGGGAGGAGGGCAGTGGGGCCGGAGGACAGAAATGGGAAGAATGGATGCTGTGAGGCTGCCAGGGGAGAGCAGGAGCACAAGAGACTTGAACATGGTGGGCAGCTGTTGTCTGCACCAGGGCGGTGATGCAGTGAGGGTTGTTGAGCACAGGGTGTAAGCAGAACCTCTTGGCTGCCAGCAGCCCACCACCACATGTGTGCAGAGGCCAGCCTCACCTTCCACTGCTGCACTGATGGGTGTAGGAGGCAGGAAAGCACCTTTTTCTTTTACTTGGAGGAAGGACAAAGGTAGTGATGCAGCCTCTGACTATCCAGATGTGGCTAGAGTGGTCTGGGTGAGATCCCAACTCAGACCATCCACCTGTGCCCTGTGCAGGGCACGTGGGGCTTGGTGGCAGGGACAGACCAGCAGTGCCTGCTGGATGCAAGGGTAGAGGCAGCAAGACTGCAAGAAGGAGTCTCCTGCTTGCTTTCTTTGTCTCAGGCCATTCCTGGGCTCTCCTCCCACAACAGCACATCAGCTGTGTATGCATATGGATTAAGGTACCAGCATATGGCTGAATGTTTATGGAGACATGAAACATTTTTTGTTCTGTAGATTTTTATAGGGCTTATTTGGTACATTATGGCTTATCAAAGCATTGTCTGCAGGAGCCAGATACATGACATTACCCTACACTCCCACTCTAATTGTTAACACTGAGATTCAGCCCACAGTGACTGCTAGTCCCTGCACCAGGTACCCCATCCTGATCCCAGAGGACATGCTGCACCAGCCACTGCAAGCTCTACTGTCACATCCCCATCCCACAACAGTTTCTCTTGACAAAAAGTGATAGACAATGAAAGGAAAATGGACTGCTGTCAGGGTTTAGATTTGCTTTTTTATAAAGCAGGTGTCTTCTAAGATTGTGGAAATACTGAGGATCAGTTGGGGTTTTTGTTGACATCTTCGCAGTGTCTTGCCTATCTTGTTTTCCCTGGAGCACTGTGGAGGCCTGGAGAAACCCAACTGCAAAATACCAATCAACCTGTAAGTGTTTAGACCAGAGGAGAAAGGAGAACTTGGAAAAACAGTCCAAACCTTGCCACAAGTGTTTTGGTCCCATGGCTTACTGCCAGCCTTCTGGTGTCTCCATTGCCCATGGCACCAACACTTGGATCTAAGTCACTCTTCTTTTTCAGCCCAATGCAATGATTTGCCACAGCCTCCCAGCCCACCAGACATGTGGGGATTGCAATTCGGGAACTGCCAGTTTAAACCATTTTGCTCTGCCAGAGCCAGTTCAATCCAATGCATAAATGTGGCAGAGCAAAGGCTGAGACCCCACTCTGCTTCAGCTGGCCCGTGGAAACCTCCCTGTGGCTCCATCAAGGCAGCTGCTGCGCTGTCCTGGGAAGCCGAGCACACAAACCCTGCACTGGTGGCTTCAAAGGTCACACCGCAGAGCCGGTCAGCACCACGGGGGCCTGTGCTTGGCCGCCCTGCTCCCAGGTGGGATGCTCAGGCAGGCTCCCCTGCGTGGCAGCGCAGGTGTGCGGCCAAGGCTGCTGGTGCCTACACGGGAAGGGAACGGCCGCATATGCCTGGCATATGTTCGTTCCAGCCTCACGCACAGTCAGCATTCTGCTCCCTACCTGTTCCGCACCCCTCTGTGCACAGCGGGGCCTCCTCTGCCTGAGGAGGAACCGGGTCACCACTGCTAACTTTGAATCTGCAGATCAAAGCAGCATGATCCTGGCCAGCCCTGGGACTGGCCTGCAGCTGGGCTGGAGTGGCTGTGCCAAGAAGAGGGAGAAGAAAAGCAGACAGATGCCTGGGGCATCAAACCTGCTCCAGTAGGACGCTCTTCGTATGCAGCGTGTGCTCAGCTGGGATGATGTTAGGACCTTTCTGCTGGTGCTTTTTGAACCCACTGAAAATACTCATAGGGTTTTTGATTTGGGGGGGGGGCAGGAATTAAGAGCAGCTGTTTTGGGTAAGGCTAGTCTGACGAGCTTGTGGATGGCCCACGCCAGTGACGTTGCCATGGCCATGGAGCAGGGCACTAAAGCCTACACCATCTGCAGCCTGCATGGGGAGGACATACCTGGGTGCTGCATCATCTGCTCACTGCACCAAGCAGACCACAGCACATGGCCAGACCCTCAGCTGCCCACTTGTACCATGGGGCCGACAGCTGGCCACAATGGGGAGCTGTGAGAGACCAGCACGGGGCTGCCTATGGTGGGAAGGGGGAAACTGAAGCAGTGGAGCCTGAAACAACTCTTCCAGCACAAGCAAGAAGGTCAGCTCAAACCAGAAACCCCAGACCCTCATGTCTCTCTCTCCCTGTAGCAGCTTCCAGTTGCACTGATGCAGGCTACAGGTGCCACTGCTCTCCTCCCCCTGCCGAGAGTTGACCTGCCATCCCACCCTGTGCCAAGTGCCTGCCTTGTCCTCCTCTTCTCCTAAGACATGAGTTTCCTACCTGGCGTCTGCTTTCCCCAGCTGCTTGCCAAGCAGCGAAGCTGCCCCGTGGCCAGGCGTGGGAAGGGCCAAGCTGTTTGTTCCCGATGCCCCTGCTACCCCCCAGCCAGTCACCGTGTAAAACTCGAAGCAGAGCCGAGAGGCTCTAGGACTGCTCCTTTCATGCACTGGCGTGACCTGCACAACCCAGCCCCTGGTGATCGCCCTCATCTCTCAGTGCCTTCAAAGAGGCTCTTGATTGATGTGTTTCCCTGACTCACAAGCTTCAAGAGGCTTTGAAGACACTGGGCCAGGCTCTGATCTCTCTTAGGCTGATGCAAATCAGGAGCGATGGTGCTGACAACAGTGCAATAATCCACACTGATGTCAAGCCAGTAAAAATAAGAGCAGAAACAGAGTTTTGGTCTTTGCCTTGAAGGGATCTGAGCAGCACTGTGAATTAGAGAGCTTCAAACTTTGCAAAGACAACTTAGTGTAAAGCAAAGGACGCTGTAGAAGGGCACTTGCCCTTTCCTGCAGCTAAGGAGGGAAGGGGTGTTAGGCTTTTTATCTTTCATCACAGTTAAGAAAAATAAGAGAGTTTGGTGAGAAATGCAAGCTTCAGCCAGCGACATCATCATAGCCAGGATTAGGCCTGGGGAAAGCCCCATCACTGCTGGTTTCAGCCAGGCAGCAACACTCATGGATGTATTCACACTTCTTGTCTGAGACTGGCTGACAGCAGGTCAGCTGTAGGCAGAGCCTGGGTAACAGAGATTTCAGAAAGAAGAAGATGGGCTATCCCAGGACAAATTAGGCTGTGGGAGGCAAGAGCTGTGAGTGTTACCAGAGAGGCAGTACACCAAGGGATGAGCATCCCCTTTTGCCTGGGGTGTGCCCAGTCTAGCAGCACAGGCTGGTCCCAGACCTCCAAGAGATGCAGGGCAGGACTGTCACTCTCCTGCAGAGCTTGTGTGTGGAGTGCCCATCTCCATGCCATGCAAAACCACCCACCTGGGGAGGGCCTGCCCACTGGCGGGCTCCTCAGGGCTGTCAGGCTCCCAGCCACTGCCAGCAGCTCCCCTTGTTCACAGCCCCCCTCTTGCTCTCTCCCAGGTTTGGTTTCAGAACCGGCGAGCAAAATGGCGCAAGAGGGAGCGGTTCGGTCAGATGCAGCAGGTCCGGACCCACTTCTCCACTGCCTACGAGCTGCCTCTGCTGACCCGTGCTGAGAACTATGCCCAGGTGAGTGCATCCCCCTGCCTGGGCCCATCTGTCCCAGTGCCTGCTGGACACACTGCCTCTGGTCCCAGTCCTCTCCAAGTCATGTTTCCCTTCTCAGGTTCATCCACCTGCCCTCAGGCGGGGTTGCAAGAATGCTGGTGCCAGGGCTGTATATGTTGTCAAGCACTGAAGGGCTGGGAGTTTTTTAGTCAGGTATCCTGCCTAGCTTCCTTATGCCCTGGCCCAGAGCAGTCATCTTTAAAGTAGGTATCAAGCCCAGCCCTGTGTGATGTAGTGCAGCATCCTTTGGGTACAGGTCACCCTGCTCAGCACATCCTATTACACTGTCCTTCTCCCATCACGTGTGCTGCTGCCCACTAACTTCCCTCCAGTTTGAAAAAGATTCAAAAGGCTAATTCATGCCTAAAGAACAGCAGTTCCCAGGAAGGTTTCCTGTTACCATGTCTGGGTTTCCATGCCCCTTAGACATGGTGGTTGGAAAAAAGCATTTTTCCCCTGGCAAATTCTTACAGCCATCTCCCAGTGATGGGCTGTGGTTCCTACAGCACACCTGATGATATCTGAGGATGCTTCCCAATGGACTTTTAGGTTTATGCTCCAAAGGAAGTGGGGGAAGCAGCCTTGTTGGGGTACCGGAGGCTGCTTCTGGGTCCTTCTGCTTCAGGATCTTCCTCCCCTGACCCTGGCAGCAGATCACACAAATGCCTCACCTCCTTAGCTTCCTGTGCTGGAAAACCTGTCACCAAAGTAACCTCCTAAGCACTGGGCCAGCCCCCATTTCACAACACCGCTTTCAGACAAGGCCAGACAAACAGGTGTTTGTTAGATCAAGGCTGTGCCCCTGCAAAGCACTCCCTCCATCCTGCACTCCTCTTCCCACCACCCAGAATTTGCTCAAGAGCAGAGTTCTGCAGGTGTGATGCTCTGAATCTCACTGTCCTCAGATGTGCTGGGAGTCCTCCCTCCCTGACTCCCTGGCTCTCTGGTACTTCCCCAGCCAGTGCTCTACCAGTGCTACCCCGCAGCCAAGCCAGGAGCGTTTGACCTCTCTCCTGATTGGCATCTCCCCCAAACTGAACAAGAAGCCCTTAAGAAATAGCTGAGAGATGCCAAAGCAGCTTTTCAAGCAGGGGACACTCTCAGCAGCATTTTCAGCATGCCCTTCTCTTGTCTTTGTAACTTACACTCCCTCCACACTGCTCTCTTCTCCCAGCACTAGAGATCAAAAATTTGAAAAGCAATTTGCTGGAGGTAAGAGATCAGAGAGGGCCCATGGGCCTAAAGTGGAGTGGTGCAGTGTGATGAAGGGCCCTTTGCCCTCTTGCTCATCTCCTCCTCACTTCCATCCTGCATGCCCATGTCCCTCCCTGCTGCAGCACACCTATTCCCACTGCCAAATACTGAGCCCCACTTTCTTCTTCTGCAATATCACTTCATGAGTGATACTGCAGGAGCCCAGATGGTCGCTCGAGGTGGCCCTGCAGGACTCTGCTGCCTTGATGGGCTGGGGAGAGGGGCCAGGAAACTGCCTGTGCTGGAGGCTCTTGGCAGCTCAGCTCCTACAGGCATGTCTGTGTGATGCAAAATAACTTGCCTGGGCAAAGCTGCCCTGGGCTGGGCAGAAGGGCTAGATCAGCAGCCTCACAGCACCCCTTTCTGTGTAATGGGTATGACCACAGAAACACCATGGATGACATAAAGTTTTCTGTGCTGAGAAAAGGGCAAATAGAGCAAATAAAGTAAGAGAAATGCCTGTGAGGGGAACAGGTAAACAGAGAGATGCTGTGGCAGAGGCTGTGGCACAATCTTACTCCCTGAAAGTTAGCCTCCTGCAGTCCCTGCCCCTGTCTTGGGGACGGGTTTTGGAGTGGATCTGCTGGCTCGCACTGGCTGCCCCTCATGCACAGGGCTGCCCTGCAGGGCTGGGGCTGGACACAATCCATCCTGCCAGGCCAGCTGCTGGATGCATCCTGCTCAGGGCAGCCCTGATGCTTTTTTTTCCCACCCCCAGATCCAGAACCCTTCCTGGATTGGCAACAATGGAGCTGCCTCCCCCGTGCCTGCCTGTGTCGTCCCCTGCGAGACGGTGCCCTCCTGCATGTCCCCCCATGCCCACCCCCACGCGGCCGGTGGTGTCTCCGAGTTCCTCGGCGTCTCCGGCCCTGGCAGCCACGTGGGACAGACTCACATGGGTGGCCTCTTTGGCACGGCTGGGATGAGCCCCAGCCTCAATGGCTACGAGCTGAACAGCGAGCCGGACCGCAAGACCTCCAGCATCGCTGCCCTGAGGATGAAAGCAAAGGAGCACAGCGCCGCTATCTCCTGGGCGACATGACAGGGCTGCAGCCCAGTGCCCGCCACACGGAGACAGCACATAGGGACAGCTGAACAAATCCATCCGCTCGGACTCCAGACAGCAGTTGCCTCCTCGGGGATCTGAATGCAGCACTTTTAGCTACCCTAGGCATATAAAGTACATATGTTAACGTTAAGTGGAGTGTTTCCAGCATGAATGTGGCAGCTCCCGGCTTCCTGGGATCAGGCAGGGAGAGGGAGGCTGTGGAGCAGCACCTCTTCCATCAAGACCTGGGATGAGATGCATCCCTCCTCACTGCCACCTCCCCAGCAACCTGGGCATTTTTTCTCACAGCTGTTTTTCCTGACACCAGATCTGCCTTTCCAAAGAGCAAGAGCCCACTGACTTTTCAGCAGCTTCTCCCATCCCACCACCCACCCACCCACACCCTCACACCCACACACATACTCTCTCTCACACACACATGTTCTGCCCTGGGCAGGGGACCGGATGGGAACTCTGGCACCAGCAAAGAGACACCTCTCATGCTGCTTACGTCATTTTAGCAGGAGCTATGACTTCCCACAGGTGAGCAGTAACAGGGCTGGGAAGATAACCAAAGCTAGAAAGAAGGCAACATTAGCCCATCTCCTTCTACCCAGCTCTCTCTCCATCTTGTAGTCTGAGATGAAGCACAGATTTCTAGAAGCCCACGAAGGGGATACCCTTCTACTCAATGTGCTATCATGCTGAGAGTCTGTGCCAGCCCTCTGGTGACCCAGACAGAGATGCATCCCAGCACTCAATATCTTCCCAAGCATGGCTCACTGCCCCAGGGATCGCCTGGGCTTTGCTTTGCCTGGCTGTGGTTTATGATGGGGCTCATGTGCATGGTGGGACAGCAAAAGGTTTCCTCCAGCTTTCACTGGGTCAGCAGTCACTAACCTCAATGTGGAGACGGTAGTTAAAGCAGGGAAGCAGAGTTGCTGTGTCAATCTACAGGTCCCCAAAAAGACTGCTCTGAGAAACAGCTCAAGTGCTAACACACAGCCACAGTGGCATGAGACCATCAAATTCCTCATATACCTTATCCGGGGATCAGATACATGCAATGACAAGCCCTCTCTCAGCCCTCCACTCCTGTGTCTTGCTGCACACAACAGCTGCAGGCATCTCTGCACAAGGGATGGCACAGGGAACAGGCTGGGAAGGGATCCAAAGGTGAATGAGGTGATACTGTCCAGTGTCCAGCCACCTTGGATCCTCTTCACCTTGCAGAGGAAGGAGGAGACACCAGAACTTGCCTGGTTTGTCTAAGCCAATATGCCTCCCCATTTTTCCCTCCCAGTGCTCTTACCTGCACAGCCCTGTTAAGTAAGATCTCCTTTGCAAGGCTAAACATTTTACAAAGTTTTTCAGTGCTAGGAATAATTTGGGAACATCCTTTTACCCCACTGAAATACTACCAAGGAGAAGCTGAAAGTCAGCTGAGCACTATCACGGCCACAGTGTGGCTACACAGGCTGAGCTTGAACTGGGGCAGCTGTCCTCAAGATTTGCAAGGGAACTGTAGGATATTACTCACATAAAAATTGGTGTATCACCCTGCCCTCTCTCCTCATGCATAGTGTTAGGGGATCTTGTAGTTCAAGGTCCAAGAATACGCAGTGGTCTTGGAAAAGACTTCAAATAAGCTACAACCAAATGTCAGGTTTCAGGTTAACAAGCTATACAAGTATTTCCACAGTGTCTAGACTGTCATTCACTACCTAAATGATACACCATTGCTAGATCAAAAGTAATACATTTATTGGAATATGAAAAGACCAGTAGTAGTCTCTTTTCTCTCCTCAGAAATGCTGAGGTGCCTTCTCTGATACGCACAGGGAGCCAGTATGCATTTAACCACACCATCTGTATGACCATGGTCTCTCCCATCCCAAGCAGCCAGGATTTACATCCTAACCTAAGCATTCAGCTGAGACGTTGGGCATGGTGGGTTGAATGCTAGAAGTGATGCTGATCACTGAATGGGGCAGGATCATGCTGACCAGCTGGAAGTGTACGCCGTCCCCACTGGGTGCCCCAGAAGCCACTGAGGTTCCCCACCACCCAGGGACCAGTGGCAGGAGGCGATTTCTCCATCAGATTTTGTGCAGGCAGCTGAGCGTGGTGTCGAGAGCATTTTCCCAGGTATACCAAAGAGCATGATGCTTCCCACAGTCAGCAGGCAATCTGTGAAGGGCCACTGCCCAAACAGCCCAGTACCATTACTGACTAGGCAAATTAGCAACTGGGAGAGCTAAGGAGAGGGTGATGGGGCAGGCAGGCATACTGGAATGGGTTTCGTATGGCCTACAAGTACCAAAGGCAGCTCCAGGAGAGGGCTGTAGTTATTCAAGAACATAGCTCATTCCCTACTGAAGTTAAAGGGTAGCTTTTCCTCCCAGACTTCCACAAGGCCAGGATTTCATCCAAGCTCTTTAATAGCCCAAAGGATTAAGTGCTGTATCCCTTTCTTGTTAGAGACTCCTGGCAGCAGACTTAGCATTTAGAGAGGCTTGGCCTCCACTTTCTCTCACCTTAAAATCCATGTGGAAAGCACATGTTGGACTCGCTCAGTCTAATTTAAATGCCACTGCACATGCCCAGCCCTCAGCCTGCCTGAAAGCATCACGAGGTGAGGGGGGATGTTGTGCCTTGGACCCCCCCACCGCAGGGCTCCCTTCTGCCCCCTGCCATGGGCAGCCCTGCTGCTCACCAGGCTCTGCCCCACCTCTCCAGGTGCTGCTGCTATTCTGGCGAGCAACCCTGTGGGTCGTGCTGGAAGGCGCACCCCTCACAGATCTCCAAAAGCGGTTTATTCTGTCAGTTTTTAAGCTACATACATCTGTATTTACACACATTTTTAAAATTTATTTCAAAGTATTTTTAAAACTAGCTGTTAAATTAACATGAAAAACTGTATAAATATATATATATACATACATACATATATATATATGTGTGTGTGTATCTTAACCTAGCCGGTCTGCAGCTGCTGCATTTCTTAAGGGTCACAGGGTCAGTGCTGTTCTTGCAATCTCCAGTTACCATGATGATACCATTTTAATTATTATTATTGTTATTTTAATACCTTTCAATTCTATTTATGACTTTCTTCTCTATTTATTTCTTATTTAGTATTTTACTCCTGTCCACACATTGAGACGCGATTCCCTGGTTTGGACTTGCCTTCAAAGCTGCAAGCTTTGTCCCCAGCCACCACCAAAATGTCTCACAAGCCCCAGCCACTCTGACACCTGCCATCCTCATAGTGGCATCCTCTGTGGATGCAGCCCAGCTAGCTGGACTCACCCATCTGCTTTCTCCATCCTCACGAAGGTAGCAAAGTATTTCTCCCAAGCAGTCCTGGCCCTGCCTATGCAGCAGGTACCATACGTGGAGGCTGGCTTATGTTGCCCATGGTTAGAAACTACCAGAGATGTCCCAGAGCTTTGAGACCAGGAGGATGGATGTAAATAGTGAGAGCAGCACGGGTTCCTAGCACTTGTTTAAAAGTGGTTGGGTACCACTCGCTGCCAAGTACTCAGAGGCTCTTCTTGCCTACAAGCAGTAGTTAATGCTTTGGTAGCAACTGCAAACCAGTGGTGAACCAGGTTTGGGCTTGCTGGGCCCTGCAGGGTCCAGACTCTAAGGGCTGCTGTGCCTGAACAAGCTCATGGAGAGGAGCGAGACAAGGGCCAGGTCAGCCCCCCAGCATGTTGCCTGTTGCCAGCAGTGCCGCCCACCTGTGCTCCTAGCGGGCTCTCCAGCCAGCAGCCAGGCTCCAGCTGCCTGCTCTTGAATATGCTACTCAGTTCAGGTCTCACTGCCCCAGCACCTACCAGGGTAGAGCTTATGGGGAAGAGTACCAAGACAGCAAGATGAAAAGAGAACCAACCTTGTTCTCCTCTAGAGCCTATGGCAGAGTGAGTTTACATCCCTGATGGAACACATCTGGCCTGAGCCGTGAGCGTGGGCAGGGTGTTAGGGAAAGGCCATGTGTAGCGACAGCGTGTCACACGTGAGGTCGCAGAGCTGCAACACACGTGGCTCCCACCTGCCCCATCAGCCATGGGCACACAGCACAACCCAGGCCAGGTATACTTGGTGTGCTGCAGAGCAGTGCTGCCCGCTGGTTTGCTCCAGTAATGGAGGTGTTTTGGGGTGGGGAGATGCATTTCCCTGATTCCCAGAGCACACTCAGACCGGGCAGCACGTTGTAAAACACTCTCCAAACAAACAAAGGCAAAAAGGTAGTTTCCTGGAAAAGGATTGAAAAAATAATCAAGCAGAGGCAGAGCCCTGTGTTTATTTTGCTACTCTGACTGACACAGCAAAAAGCAAACAGACCGAGGGAGAAATTAAACCCAAATGGGAAGGGAGTGAAATCAGATGGAAAGTCATTCAGTCCTTTGCAGCTTCCCGAAGGGAGCTGGGAAGAGGTGAGGGAGCGGCCTTGCACCCCTTAACTCTTTGCTGGTAACACAGTTCCCCACTCCCCCCACATAGCTAGGTAGGTAGGTAGAGCTAGGACTTTTATACTACTGATTTTGAAGGACAGTTTTCAATGTATAATAATATATCGGTTTAGGTGTGCAGTGTTTGAAAGAGAGACTGGGAGAAAGAAAGAAAACAAACCTCAATCAATATTATTGTTTTTTTGTTGTAAAATATTGTAACCTTGTATAAACGCAACCTTTTTTTTTTTTTTTTTTCTCTTTAGCTTACCAGCCTGGGGTAGGACATATTAAAAAAAATAAAAAAGTTTTCAAAAAGTCCAGGAAAAAAAAGAATTTAAAAAAATCATTAAAAATGTTGCCATGTGAAGTTTGTGCCATGCAATGTTATTGCCTATGCAACCATGTATTACCTGTTCATTACAGTGGAATATTAAAAAAGAACAAACAGTCTTGCAGCTTGATTATTTTTAACTTCTTTGAAATAAGTTATTGCACTTGCAGGTTTTTTTTTTTCTTTGGGGGGAGCTGGAGGGCTGGAATTTCCAGTCACCAATTTTTATTTTTCTAGGTTTTGAAAGAAGTGACATGATTGGGAAGGATCCTGCTTCCCAGCCACCCTGGCCAAGGGGGCACAAACTCTGTTGTTGTTGTTTTGGTTTGCAATAAACTCCTTCTCTTCTCTCCTCTGAACTGCAATCTGGATGGTTTGTTCCTGACTCATGACAGATGAAATGTGATCAGAGGGGCCTCCAAAATCTCACGTTAATTGAAGTTGGCAAAAAATACTAACAGTGCCCTTTTGAACTGCTGACGCAGAGCAGAATGGATTAGCCGGGGGTAGATTAACAACAGGTGGCAGCTCACGGGCTGCTGCCTCTGCCCGTACAAAGAGATGGTTAACAGCCAGCAACCAGGCACAGGAGCGTCCTGCCAGCCAGCTCCCTGCTAACGAGGGCCTCTCTGCCTCCAGGAGTGCATTTGGCATCTCCTGGCATCCTCATTAGACAGCACAGAGGGCACCCTGGCCACAGGGGAGAGGAGGATGGTCTCCTGTGCTTACTGTTCAGGAGCTGCTACTTCTAGCAGAGCTTAAGCCTCACAGGGCTCCTGCAGGTCTCACAGCCCTTCTCAAGCAGTCCTTAGTGAGGCAGCAGCTAATCACAGCTGACATGGGGAGAAGATGACTTGGCAACAGGATGCCACAGAACTGGGGACCCTCAGCCATGCGGATCCCCGTCCTATGGCACCACCCCTTTTACACAGCACAGTCATGCTTGGGGCACCACAGCACAAGGCAGCCTGAAGTCCAGAGAGGTAACACTTGGGGCTAGCAGTGGGGGGACTTTTCCTCCAAAAGTGCTCCTTTTTGCTACATTCCTGCAGGTTGTCACACCCCCTCCCTTCCCAGCTCCCCTTTAGTAGAGGCATCCAGAGGCATCCAAGCCTTACCCACCCTTTCCTCCACCTCGGCTCTGATGGCTTCCCCAGAGGTGCCTGCCTTCAGACAGACGCTGCTCACTGGGCTGCAGGACAGACTGAGCCCTCTGGGTTTCACTTCTCCCCACACTAAGGAGAGGGCTTGTCTCAGCCCCACCAGTTCCCAGTGCACACCTCTTGCCCTGCTGTGGAGAAAACTAGGTTCTGTGTGGGCCATTTCACTCCATAAATAAATTCAGCTGCAAACCTATTTCCTTCAGACTGCACAGACCCACCAGAACTGGGACCAGTAAGAGCTCAAGTTCCTGGACCCAGATGCTGAGTGGACTGGAAAGTGCCCTTCTTGTTCAGACAGAGTTGAGAAGGTGCCCAGCAGCTGCCAGCAACCCACCAAGACCCAAAGAGCCGCTCTGGCCTTTCCATCAGTTGGCCAGGAGCATCAGCTTGCATTAGATGGCGCATGGCTGTTTTCTATCTTGCTAAGAAATGGATAATGCAGGTGCTGTTGCAGGCTTATCCATTCCTCTCACTTACAGGAGAAAAATTCCTTCCCTCCCCAAGCACTCAAAGCCAGATTCTCCAGATGTTGGCAGAGTTCAGACTGTTGAGAGCCTAAAGTCAGTTTCAGTAACATCCTCCTTGTATGGGTTTACATCAGAAATTGCTCCTGACCTGAACGTTGCCAAAGAGCTAAAAAGTCTCCCTATAAACTCCAACTAGTGGCAGGACCCAGATTAGAAATGTGCATTCTTTTTTTGAAGCTGCACTTTCTTACTGGCATCACAGAAGTTGTTTAAAACACATGGAAAAATTTCTCTCTGGGAGATGTGGCTACAGCACCTAGGTTAATGTGTTCCTTCTCTGCTGGAGAATATGACTTTGAGGCAGGGCAAAGTTCGGGCACTTTAAATGAAAAACAATTTTTTATTCCTGTAAACTAAACAGATTTGCCTTTTTCTCTTCCTCTTTGTAAAAGCAGGTTATTAACCTTTAAACAGATGCATGTACTAAAATCTTCTCATTGGCAAGGAAGGTAACAGCCATGCAAGGTGCATCTACTTATGGCCAGCTGGAGCCCACATGTAAAGGTGTTGCATTTAATCTGAGACAAACAAGTGTTTATTATTTGTGAAAGGATCTTCCACTTTCTCTTGCTTTTCAGTTCGTAACTTAGTCATAGGACAAAGACAGATGCTCTGAGTTAGCTGTAGTCTTGCCGAATTCCTAGATCTCATTTTACAGTCCTTTCTGCTTCGAACCTTTCCCCCTGCTTATTTGTATGAAGTGTGGCAAAGTGGTTCTTGTTCCCATCAGTCCTCAGCTGAAGGCACCCAGCACTAACTGTGCCTAGCGTCCAGCTGAGACCTGGCCCTCCCTATCAAAGAGAGGTTTCTCAAAAGGACCTGTAAGTTTGCAAACAGCCAGAAAAGCAGGTGAGAAACAGTGATTTGCTTGAGTGTATGACACATGGAAAATCTCATGTAGGTCTCATATCTCAAGTTCTTCACACCTTCGTCTGTCTAATGGTCCATCTTTCACCTTTGTTCAGTCCCCTGCCAACTAAAAGTCAGGTTAAAAATCCGGTAGATTTGACTTAATAATGAGGCTGGTATTTTCTTAGTCACAAAAATCCCCCTTGCATAGAGTCTCGTACTGACCACTGCTGCAAGTTCATAGACCTAATGAAATCATGGCCAAATTGCACTGATCTCTGTCCCCAGTCAACTGCAGAGTTGTCATCTGGAGCAGAAACACTTCCTGTTTATGCAAGTAAACAGTCATTTAGCATGACTAAAGGAAATTTGAAAGAGAATTACTGGATCCTTTTCCAGACAAATGAAGACAGCAAACAGGCAACCGTGCAGGAAGGACCTTTGAGCAGCACTGTTTTCAGTCGGAAAACTCCCTGCATGCTGCTAACTCCAAGCCAGTCCACTTAATTGCCTCAATTGTCCCTGTTATCCTTTAATGGGAAACATAACTCACTTTCAAAGCAACCACAAGAAGCTGCAGACAGGGGAATCCTGAAGATCAGCAGAGGTGGGACTGCATTACAGACATTTCCATCAGGCTGAAATTACACAGAGTGCACCAGGAATGTCACTAAATGGCTTCAAGCCAGGGCCTGCTGAAACATGCTGATACTTAAAAGTCAAGGCTAACGGTCCTCTACCTTGGTAGTGAGCTACCCAGAAGTCCAAATAAACAACAGTTCAGACAAAAGTGTGGCTGTTCTGCTAAATCCCAGGTTCGGGATACTGGTGTTCAGGCCTTGGATATGCAAAAGCTTCTCTCAATTTCCTTACCTGCAGTTACAGGTACGAGGGACATCTTACCCACACAGGAGGACTGTGAAGCTCAATTTCTTGCACTTGGATACAGCAGTGGCAGGCCTCATAAAAAGAACTTACACCATCCTACATGCACTCCCAACAGCATGACATAAAACTTAAGGACCCATGACTCAGTGGTTACCAACACAGACTCTAGCTGATTTTTCTGCTAAGCTGAAATGACCACCTACTCATGGGATAACTTTCAGATCCTACAGAGTATTGTGTTCAGAGTTTTCTGACAATTTTTGACAGAAATTATTTTTTTACCAGCCTAGGACTTAAAATTAAAAGACAATATAGGTGGAGTACTTGCCCAGGATTTGCTCTGCTTTTCCCAACTCTTCAGGATCAGACCGAAGTTAGCAACTGGACCAATTGGATGCTCATTTTCTAGCATAAATTTAATCTAACACAAGTTTGCAAAACACTTTTTTCTTGGCTCAAGTACATGGACAAGACTATCCATGACTACAAGAACTACCCATAGTTTATATTTCAGTTTACAAATGCACTTGTTTTGCAGCAGTCCTAGTAAAATTTAAGTATGCAAGACTTCAAAAAGAAAAAAAAAATTCATACTCACTGTCTGGTCTCTGGCCAGGGCATTTAAAATCCATTTTCTCATCAGCACTGTCAATTTTTTTTTCTCCCCTATATCATGCTTTGACCCTGTTATGACAGCAGCTTCCATGTAAAAGGGCTGGACACAAGATTTATGCAGTACCTGCTAACCATTCCGAGATCTTTCCTGATCAAAAGATGCTCTATCTGTGAGAAGTACCCAAGGTATCAGACACTCATTATGGAGGGAATTCATGCCAAATCTTGGAGGTATCTTTAACATTAAAATTGCCCACCAAAATCCATTTTCATATGTCTCAGTATAGCATTTTTCTAGTGCTCAACACTAAATAATACAGCCTAAAAGTAAAATGAGTCAGAAGTACTAGGCATCTCTTAAATCCCTCTTCACAATTATTTTGATATCTATATCTCCAAGGCCCTTGAGTTTAAAAGGCCCTTGAGTTTAAAAGGCCCTTGAATTGATAATTAACAGGGGTGAACTTGTTGCCAGAGTAAAGCATATTTGAACTGCATTGGTGGAAGCACAATGGAGGGCCGGAGGTTCAAGAGCAGGATCTGGAGATAGCAGGAGAACGTAATTCAGAACATTAGGGCCTGAATTGACACATCCTCTAATAAGATAGTGGAGCTGTGAGGAAGGAAAGATTCAATGTGTTGTAGGGAGAGTTGGTGATGCCAAAAAGGTGATGCTGAAGGCTCACCATGACTGGCAGGGAAATACTGCAGCACATCTCCCCCTTGCTATGCTCAAGAAGCAAGGCATGCCGTGCACACACACTGCCCTTTTGCAGCATGCTCCACAGGGGCAGTGCTGCAGGCTTCTGGAAACAAAGAGCTGCCACTGCACTGGATCCCCCAATCTCAAGGAGTCAGCCAAAGCTCTCTTCTCAAAAACACAATTCTTTAACGTCTGCTGTATCTCTTTGCAAAAAAAAGAGAGGATCTGTTCCCTGTTTCTCCAAGATAAATGGTATTGTCAGATCTTGGCAGAAAATCTGGGTAACAACTACTCTCCCAAAAAAAGGTGACTGGGATGAATTCATGCAGAGCAACCTTCTGTTTCAGAGACAACCATCAAACTCCAGTTAC